GAAAGGGAGGAGGAATAGAGGGAGTGGGAGGGAAATGGGAGGATGGGAGGAGGTGGAAATTTTTAATAAGTAAATAAATAAACTCATGAGGATCCCCCCAAAACCCTCAATAAACTAGACATCAAATTATAAAATAATCTAATAAAATGTGTAGAGATCTAAACAGAGACAGCTCATCACAGAATCAGAGGTCATATCCTTTTATGTGTCGATGTTTAAATGTACTAAGTTCAAAAGTAGAACACTAGTCCTGTTTGCCTCATCAAATGCTAAGTAAATCTTACAATCAAGTAGAGAAAGTCTTACACTTCTGTTGGGAACCAGCCTCAACAAAAGTTCCACTTGCCAGGATAGGGGTATGTGGTTTTAGAAAAATTTGTTAAGTACACAAAGATGTTTTTTAAAATAATAAAACATAGAATAGTACTGGGAGGGAGTTCCAATAAATACTGAAATTGCCTGCATATAATTGCCAATTGTTTGAAATACTCCTGGCCCCAAAAGGAAGGAGTAAGATTTTTTTTTAAAAAAAAAAACCTGCATTAGCATGATACATGAAAATGAATAGAACAGTTGAGGTTCATGGGCTACATCCATAGCAACATTCTGTTGCTAGAACAAAACAAGTCTTGCTCACACCCTAGCCCAAAACATTCCAAAGGCAAACTACTCCCTGGATGGAATCCAATGTTACCTCCTTAAAAGAAATGGAACCTTAGTTGGATCCTTAGACTTTTGTTTGATGTTAAACGTGTCTACTTCTCTATTCCTAAAATACAAGGTCTGGCTATTAGACATACCTGTTGACAATAACCTTGAGAAAGCAGAACTCTTTGACCTAAATCTAGGTGGGACCTTTGTTTTAAGTAGAGATACCTTGAAGGAATAGAGGTGTGCTCCAACTTTCTGACTTTTGGTCAATGTGGAAACAAGCTCATATTTTTGTACCTCCATGTCCTATTTTTGTTTTGTTTTTACTGCAGTCCATATCCATTCACTGAAAGAGACTCATCTGCTCACACTCATCAATGCACCCTAGTGACAATGCAGGTTCTAGAAGGCAAGCAAAAAGAGATGAGTTGGAAAATGGTATAAGAATAATTTATGAGTAACTAACCTGTAAAGTTTTCTGATGTTGGTCCTGAGAAAATTCCATCTTGGTCAATATGTAAATTTTAATAAAAGCTTGCTTAAATTCAGGCAATAAAAAAAGAAAAAAGAATATGCATTGAACCCATGGTCAATTCACAGTATCTATTTCCTTTGTAGATTTTCAACAAAACATATTCACAACAACTATAAGAATCTAAAATGACGATATTTGAGATAATCATCAGTGTGATAGTGGGGCAAGGCCAGTTCAGGTACCCTCTACTCTGCTGCCCAAGGACCTAGCTGGAGACATCCCCATGGACACCTGGGATCTCCTCTAGAGCCAAGTTTCTTGCCAACCCTAAAATGGCTCCCTTAATGTAGATATCTTCTTCCCTGCTCCTATATCCACCCTTCCTTCATCTCCACCCTCCCACTCCCCCAAACACTCTCTAGTCTTTCCCTTTTCCATTCTCTCTCCCCCTTTTTCTTCCCCCACCTCCAGCCCCCCCCCACCCCAATGCTCCCAACTTTTGCCCAGCAATCTTGTTCGCTTCCAATTTTCAAGAGGATCTATATATGTTTTTCTTTGGGTTCACCTTGTTATTTAACATTTCTAGGCTTGTGGAAACAAAGCTTAATGTCCTTTGTTTATAGCTAGAGTCCACTAATGAGTGAGTACATACCATATTCATCTTTTTGGGTCTGGGTTATCTCACTCAGTAAAGTGTTTTCTATTTCCATCCATTTGCATGCAAAATTCAAAATGTCATTATTTTTTACTGCAGAGTAGTACTCTAATGCATATATATATATATTCCACACTTTCTTTATCCATTCTTCCATTGAGGGGCATCTAGGTTTTTTCCAGGATCTGGCAATTACAAATAATGCTGCTATGAACATAGTTAAACAAAAGCTTTTGTAGTATGATTGGGCATCTTTTGGGTATATTCCCAAGAGCTGTATTGCTGGATCCTGAGATGGATTGTCCGGCAACGGATGGAGATAGAAACAATGTGCCTCATCAGAGCAACGGACTGAGCCCCCAAGGTCCAGTTGAAGAGCAGAAGGAGGGAGAAGATGAGCAAGGAAGTCAGGACTGCGAGGGGTTGGTCCACCCACTGAGACAGTGTGCCTCTTCTAATGGGTGCTCACCAAATCCAGCCTACCGGGACTGAATGAGCATGTGATCAAACCAGACTCTCTGAATGTGGCTGAAAATGGGGGCTGATGGATAAGCAATTGATAAAGGCACTGGGACTTGTTTCTACTGCATGTACTGGCTTTTGGATTCAAAGCTTCCTAGGCCTGGATGGCAGGGAGGCTTGGACTTCCCACAGGGCAGGGTTCCCTGCCCTTTCTTAAGGAGGGAGGGAGAATGAGGGGAATGGGAGGAGGGGAGAAAGTGTAAATTTTTGAATGGAAATATAAAAATAAAAAAATCTAAAATGAGAAAAACACTGTATGAAGTCACAGATAAGGCAGAAGAATTTGGTCAAATGACTAATTAACCTATG